TTACACTTTGTATAGGGGCCTGTATAGTGATTTCTGATGCTTCCCTGCTGTATCCGAAACAGTAGGTTGATATTTTTTATTATATTAACAAAGGAGGAGGCTCTGGTTCTTATCAAAGCACATACATTAACTTGAGGCAGTCTGCTGAACAGTTTTCAGTAGCTCACCCAGCGGAAGCTGTCATGCATACGGCTACATGCATTCGCTGCAATGCTTTTTGGCAGGTTTCTGACCATCAGGTCACAGTACTGAGAATCAACCTACCTACTGCCACTTCATTTAAACAGGAATCATCTGTTCAAGGTTGTCCTGAGGTTTCTAACCTGAAATCCTCACCAGGACTAAAGGATAGGTTCAAATTTCAATTCAATGTTTATATGAACAATGAAACAGGTTTTACTTGTGGTAATCATTCCTCCTGTTCATAATGTCCTTTCCTAAATTAATTTCAGTATAAGTGATGGAGGACTAACTGTCTAAAGTTCCTTTTCAACTGGTCAGAAAACCCGCTAAAACCCGCTAACATCGGGCTTTTGTCGGCAATAGAAAAGGGAACAATCTACATACACATGCGGGTCAAATGATTCTGTAGTAGACGCAGGTATTTATTGGCTCCAGCTCAGCAGTGATGTACACACAGAGCACAAACACCGTAAACACACCCGTCACCTGCCCAGCACGGTGCTGTTAAACCAGAAACACTGCAGCTACACTGCACTCCATAATGAAAGAGTGAACTGCAGCCCTGAGATTATAAAAACACACAATCACAGATCGAAGTGTCTCACACGGAGGCTCCGACACTGACATGAGCTCCGACCCAGAGATGAGACGCGAGGGATCCGTTTTACCAGTTTGTACAGCGGCTAGCAGCTCACTCTCTCTCCACTGCGTAGCCCTGAGATTGTGTGTGTGTGCGTGTGTGTGTGTGTGTGTGTGTGTGTGTGTGTAGTCTGTAACTGCATGTGGTGACATTGTGTGTGTCCTATCCGGCAAACTCGGCTGGCAGTATAAAAGGAGTCAGTTGCTTTTGTTTTTAGCAGGTTTACCTGTGTGTAAAAAAAACAGTTTGTACCTGCTAATGTTGGTGTAAAAAGGGTATAACTCAGACTGCCAAAGCCTCATGTTAACTTTGTACGGAACGAGGAGCGTGGATGTTCTTATCACTTTCACTGGAATCAGATTTATGGAGGAATGATCACAGCAAGCAGAGCCTCTTTCAACGTTCAGATGGGCAGGAGAGTATTGCTTTGAGACTGACTTGAAAAAATGTGAACCTGTCCTTTTAAGAAGTCAGTGATGGAGACATCCATCCACTCTATCCACACCCACCCTGACCTCCATCATGGCCACCAGAACCAGATGTGTAAAACCAGCTGCACAGTCACCAGCCCAACAGCCTATGTACTATCAGAGGGACCTCCCAGTCAGGTAGGTTACGGTTGAAGTGCACCAGAACAAAACTGCTGTTGTTTTTATTTATTTATTTTCCTCTACTGTTGAAGTCTTTTACGTCCGTACTGTCTGTACCGCTGTCAACAGCTCTGTACATTTGTGTTTTGTTTTTGCTTCACAAGAGAAAGAAAACAGACTTGTTTTGTCAGAGGAGGGGTCCACGTGTTGATGTGTTGATACCTTTGTAGATACAGAAGGATATGTGATTTGTGAGCGGCAGATATTTAAATAAACACGTGTGCTTTGACCTTCACTGTTAACATGGCCGTCACATGATAATTGACTGTATAAAACCCCTTGATATCGTTGATTTCCCTGAAATGTCAGAAGGTTTTAGGATCACATCAGGTGCTATCAGGTGCTATCAGCGTGCTCAAGAGCTTATTTTTTGGAAAGTTTGGTAGAAGAGTAGTAAAACTGTATGGATGTATTAAATAAAATGGGTTAACACATTAATTAATATTGCACATTTCCTTACTGTAAAGACCCGTGTAGGAATTAAAAACAAATACTGACTTTGGTGACTCTAAAAGCTGCTGTGGGGAAAGCAGTGAACACCAACATCATTTTAAGTTGCTGTAATCACGATATTTCAACACACAGGGGCTTTAAATAATTGTAAATGAGCTATTTATAATCTGTTGATATATATTTTATCATTCTAAATCACTGGTTAGTGTGTTAATTTAAGGCCAACACATGTTAAACAAAGCTATGAATAAAGGCATGAATCAATTTTCATATTCTGAACCGTCTCAGCTGTGGAACTTTTAACAAAACGTACTGAAGTTATTTGTTAATGTGAATAAACACTTTTATTGTGTTTTATCTGAAGTGTTGATCCATAAGAAGATATATTTGTAGTTTTAAGAACCAAAAACCCTCTCTGTAGTTTTACATCTCCTCTCTCAGGCTTATCTCTGGAGCTCTAGTAACAACAGGTCGGTGAGCCAATCAGAAGAGTGGAGGCTCTGAGCCTCTCTTCTGATTGGCTGACTGTTTTCTGAGTGATTGAATAAAATACAGCAGATTTCAGGTAAACACTCAGAGAAACCAAATCTTGCAAGATTGGATGTTGGGTCCAGGTGGGGGCTTGGGGCATGACTGAGGGCAATGACTGCTTTGTTGTGACATCACAAAGTTCCAGAAGTCCTGACGGCTGGTTTTAAGGCTCAGTTTCTGAATACAGGCTGTGTGCATTTCTCTGTGGACTGAGGCTTTGATACTTTCACAGTATTTATATAGAACCTAGACCTGATCTATAATCACAACACATGACCTTTAAATTCTATTTATGTTTTCTTTATAGATTTCACTGTCATTGTGAAATGAAAGCTCTTCCACTCATGGTGCTTAATACTTAACATCACTGATTCATTGGGGTCTTCCAGAAATCATACTAATTATTAATTATAAACAAATTATTTACTACAGCAAACACAGCTGCTTTGTTGTAGTCATTATAAACACTAAATATTATCATGATGCTTCCTTTTATAAGCAGCTTCCTCCTGATTGGTGCTTTGAAAAAGTTATCACATGTCTCCATTTCAGGTGTTTAATGCTTTCTACTCATCGGTGATCATTAATTACAGAGCCATCTGGCAAGTTGTGTAGCTACTTCATCACTGCAGCCAGTTGGACTCCCTGACACAGGACTCACTCTGTATATATGACGTGTGAGCAACTCACTTATTCTAAGTAGGGCTGTTTCCTTACATAACAATGAGCTTCAGCCATTTTTTAACATTTACTGTAACACTGTTATTACTGTCGTCCATGTTTTGGCTTCAGTGGGACTTTATTGAATAGATATGACTTTCATCAGGGACACAAAGTCAATGCTTTCAAGTCCATTTGAAAAACGTGTTCACATCGAGCACCTCACACTAGCTTCATTTAGAGCAAAAATGTGCAATACACTTGTTTCCTGCAGATTCTGTTTTTCATCTATTTTCATGACAGCTAATTTCAGAAGACGAGTTTCCAACTGAGAGAGGACATAATGATTTCATGCCTTTATTCTTGACTTTATGAATTTATGTGTTATCTAATACAACTTGGAAGTGTTTGTTGTTAATCAGTTGTTTTGTTATACTGTATCTCTACCTGTCATTATGTATTCATTGCTTTTTGGTAAGATGAGCAAACTGACGACATTTAACACGTGGAAAGGCAAATATTTGTGCAGCGACGTCTAAGCTAACTGTAAAAACTCTGTAAATGTGAATGATTTGAATGAGAATTTGCAATAAAATCCCTTTGTATATTTATCTACCAGGTGTATTTAGCTCATTTAAACTGAGGCGATATCCACACACTGCACCAGTGCTGAGCAGAGGAATTGCCGTGCTGAAAATGCTTATGCTAACCCAAAACAACTCGCCTTTTGTTCCAGTATAAAGAGCTCGAAGGTTATTTAAATACCAGAGGTTCTGCGTATGTTTCCTGGTTATTACAAATCAAGTCTATGTAGTCTATGTAGTGTTCCCTTGCTCTTTTTCTGGTGGTTTCCATTTATTTCTTTACAGACTGATCATATTAACGTTTTCAGATCCATCAAACATGAAGCTTTGCATTGTTGGATTGTTAAAAAATGATAGTGTAAATACTATGACTATTACATTGTTTGTTTCATTCTGTGAGTTGTTATGGCCATGATGTAGCACATATATTTCACACTAAGAATCAGAAATCAAAATGGCAGAAAGTAAATATAGTGCATTAAGGACAAAATATGGAGCATGGGTGAAATAAACAAACCTAACCCTCCATCATTCCATCAGATGGAAATATTCCAGATGTGTTGTGCTCTAATCTGCACTTCTCCAGGGTGAGTCAAGACACTGGTTGTGAGTAATCAGCAATACAGAAAGGTGACACACCTGATGGCCTTCCTGGTCACCAGTAAACCAACCTGTGGAGGATTTTGGTGCCACATGTTAAGACAGCTACACCACAAGCATCAAAACACCAAATGAAGAAATATGCTTTGGAAGAATAGTCAGACCAACTCTTACACCTCACAAACTTTGTGTTCAATCTGTCACACACCTGTCAAAGTCAGTTGAGTAAACAAGGCCAGTTAAATTACATTACTCAAACTAAACATTCTTTAAAAATCTTCTTCTGTTTTCTATCCTGATTAACTGTGGACAACAAGACCAATGAACACAATCAAACAAACAAACAAACAAACAAACAAACAAACAAACAAACAAATGAAACACAAAATGTGACATATGTTTTGACAAAGTGTATACAGGTTATTCTGCAGACCCCATTCCAGGACTGTGAGGCACTGACTGAGCCAGAAGAGGGTGGTAGTAGGCTACACAGTACATCAAACATTTCTAACCTGCTACAGAAGAAGAAGGAGTACGTTGATTATTTCTACCCTGAGTTACTCCTGTCAGGCACACCTTCTTGGGCTGCGTAAAGCTGACATTACCCCGCCCTATGTGGTCTATACCATGTAATGAGCCTATTGTGTAGGAGCCACCAGGGTCTACAGGCTCGGAGGAGAGTGGAGAGGTGGAGGACTTCCTGGGAGTTTCAGCTCAGGGCAAAATTAACACCACCACTAGGAGCATAGACCAGTAGGGTAAGAGAGCAGCAAACTGGTACAGTGGAGTAAATCAGTTCAGTGTTGATGGTTCACTTAAAGCTGGCAGTCTGGATGATACAGATCCGCCACCGAGAGGAATCATGTTTGAAAACTTCAGAGAAAGACTTCACATGGTCCAGCAGGACTTCACAACCGGGTGGGTCTTCAGTCTGACACCGTTAACCATAGACTAATTAACTGCTGCTTTAGCTAACGATAAGTAGCTGCGGCTAACCTCCCACCTCACATATACCTGTATAATTGCCGTAGATGGATGTGTGTTAGACCTCGTCATAATGTAATAATGAAACACCAGCTACAGCGGCTATACAGTCTATGGGCTAAAGCTAACACAGCCGTAATTCTGCTGTTTCGTCGTGACGTTAACTTTTGTCGCTGAATTTAAAATTGTCGTCAGTTACATTTACAGTTAAACTGTCAAGATATAGTAGCGTTCAGTTGAACTGCTGTTTCCGTCCTAACGAGCTCCGGCCTCTCGGTTCCTGCTTATTGCTTTCAGCTGACGGTCATGTGACGAGTGTTTTTTCATCAGACTTTAAATGGAGGACAGTGAATACACGAGCCCGCCGTAATAGAAATTATTTCCTGTTTCTGTGTCAGTAATGTGATGTCAGCCTTCCCCACTATTACCATAATTTCCTGGTAGAGAGCTCACATGAACACAGATAGTAAAATGAAACGTCTGGCCCAACATATGTCTATCCCATATAGGCTACTTTCACATCCGGGCAGAGTCCGGCTGTTATCCTGACAACCAGAGGGGTTTCTGTGTGCGCGCCAGAACCGGTCCAGATGTGGAAGTAGCATCTTAAAAATCATGCTGTATATATCTGGGCCAGATTCGGGCCATTGACCCGGGTATACTCGGCCGGAAGAAAACAAGCAGTACTGCCTTTAAAAGCTGCTCTTTACCTGGGGCTGAGTATCAGTCAAAAATGATAGTGAAACCTTGACTGCAATACAGATTCTATGATACTTTTTTTCTATACCAGTGTTATCAAATCCATTTTAACAAAAAGAAAATGACAATAAACATTACAGTGCAGAATATAGTTTTACGCAAGCCAAAGATGCTTTATACCAATGATGAGGCATTACAAGCAATGGCAATGGTATGAAATGGTAAACCATTCCTGTCTCCTGAGTGGACATGGTCCTGATTGCTTGTCAAACAAAACAACAATACAATACAGTATGAATTTGCACCTTGTTTTGCCGCTTGTTTTTTATCTGCTAGTTGATATCTGATCAACCCAGTACAAGATCAGTCTAATACTCTGTTTTCTCTCCAAAAATACTTAAATAATAATAAAAAATAATATTAGTATTAAGTATTAAGCAAAGAAACACTAGTTACATCTTTAATGTATAAGTCTCTCTAAACTTCTGTTTATCTGGTTACAAAGTGACATTTGCAGCAGTGACACCAGAACCAGAACTAACAGAGAGAATTATCTGTGTTGCTGAGACAGTCATTTCTCAAATGAAGTTAATTTTCTCCAGCTTGGTCTGAAAAATTACATTTTAGTGTCAGAATATTCTGAAGATCTGTAGCTTTTGAAAAATTGATCCAATATTTATTTTGGTGACTGTGGGTTGAAAGAATCATAATGTGTGATCACGTTCACAGATACAGGAAATGTTTCTACATCTCAACTGTCTCTGCTTTAGTTTTGTTTTTAAGTTCAGTCTCTTTACACACTCAAATGTGTAAATAAACTGTAAATAAAAATGTTGCTGCCTCTCTTTGCCTGTAAATATGAGCCAGACAGTCAAAGGCTCAAATCAGCTGCTCCAGATGTTCATACAACAGCCTGCTGTTAGGAATATACTCCATCCATCCCCAGCTCCTCCTGTCTACATGTCAAGTGTCAACGTGTCTTTGAGCAACATAACAAACTCCAGTTACTCCTGATGGTTAGGCCGTGGAAGCTCACTGTTGTATCACATAAAGCACTGTACCAGTGCATTGCTATACAGCGTGTTTTAACCTGGTGTGAAAAGTCATTCATGCTCCCGTGCATTTGTTCTACATACTTGCTGAACTGACAGTCCTCTCTCTCTCTCTCTCTCTCTCTCTCTCACTCTCTCCCCAGTTTAAAGACCCTTGGAGACAAATCAAGAGACACCAAAATCAAGAGGAGACCCAGGTTAGCAGTAACATTTTATGTGTGTGTTGATTATGATATAAGGGTTCCACAGAGCTCTTTTGTAAAGGTTAAAGGGGCTATATGTAAGTTTCTGTGCTGTTGAACATGGGCGAGCAGGTGGTGGTGATGCCATCATTGTGTTTACAATACAAGAGGTTATAATACGTCATCAAGCAGCTACTTCGTCAGTGATTCGCTATTGGAAAGTGACAAGACGGGCTCGGCTAACTGGTTAGCATGCTAACTTCATTAGAACAAAGTGTCAGTCAGTGTGACAAAGACAAAACTCAAAATTGGTGTTTGTTTCCACCTCTGGAGACAGCTGTTGGTGAGTAAAGGAATGACATTTGATACTGAACTTGCAACATTTCTTCTAGAAACAGATGTTAATGCTAACATTAGCTATGTAGCTATAGCAATAACTTACATATAGCTCCTTTGAAAGTTTCTTCAAACAAAGTTGAAACGTTTAAATCTCATGTGCACCCCACCTGAACTTTTGTTTTAGTGACACAGCAGCTGCATTCATGGTACTGCTGCTGTGCACCACTGGTTCTCAGGCTGCTGCTGGGACAGACACTAATGACCCTCTGGGCTCATCACTCAGCAGCTGCCTCCATGGTTTACTAACCTTTGGTGGTGGGGGGTTACCATGTGTGTTAAAGTTTCCTAGGGATGCCCTGACTTTGTCTCTGCTGCACGGGTTGCAGTAAAAGAGGTGACTCCTCCTGAACTGTATTGGTGCTCACATTATTCAGAAGCTACAGAGGTGACACTGCTATGATCTACTCTATGCTACAGGAACGTTTACACTGTGTGATTCTCCTGTTGTCCAGGTTTGAAGAGAGTCTTCCTCATTTCAGTGCTGGACTGGAAATCCTCAGCAGGTCTCTGCACACACAAACACACAGGCAGTTTACAAATAGCTCTGTCATGTGTATGTAACAGGTTTATTTATGTCTATGAACCTTGTCTCTGTAGGTATGAGGAGAACTGGTTCCTGCTCCATAAAAGAACTAAAGACTGTGCTCAGGCTGCAGAGGTAAGACCAGTTCTCTCTATTAGACACCATCAATGACACCAGTAATGATTTGCAGTATTATTACCTGTGTTAATGGATGCTTGAATATCAGATGTAGATATTTTCAGTAAACAACAGTCAGATAGCCGTGAAGTGATAGAAAAGCTTGGATTTAGATTTAATCTTAAAGGTCCCATATTTGACTCTTCTCCTGTGTGTGTTGAGGTGTTTGTTTATATATTTGTGGTTTTAAGAACCAAAAACCATCTCAGGCTTCTCTCTGGAGCTCTAGTAACAACAGGTCAGTGAGCCAATCAGAAGAGAGGAGGCTCTGAGAGGCCTATAAGATTAAAATCTTTTTGTGTTATTTTTTATTGTGATCAGATCACATATTTGTGGGAGGAAACTGGAGTACCCAGAGAAAACCCATGCAGCGCGGGGAGGATGTACAAAGTCACAGAAAGGGGAGAGGAGTGATGGGGTTAGAGAGGGTAAGGAGAGAGAGGAGAGAGGGGACAAAGGAAGGAGAACGTGGGGGTGAGGAGCAGAGGTAGAGGTTACTCAGATGGAGGTCAGGTCCCTCAAGTTTACTTGAAGAGCTGGCGGAATCGTTTCCATAGAGATTTCCTCTTGGGTTTGCTCTGAGCCTCCATCTACTTTTCCAGACACATTAATCTGTCCGTCACTTCGTCCATGCCTCCATCCTTCTCCTCCTTCTCCTTCAGAGCCTGATTCATGGTCTTCAGAGACTCCTCCAGGCTTGACTTCTCCTTTTGCCACTGGAGTCTCTTCTGGACCAGATCTTCCTGTGCCTGGATCACTGCTGCCTCCAAGTCAGAGTTTTCCTGCTTTTGTTCAGCCAGGAGACGAGACCTGTCCTCCTCACACTGGCGACGTGACAGTTCCAGGTTGTTTTCAGCCTGGGCCAGTTTGAGCTGGACTTTGGAGGTCTCCTCAGTCTCTCTGGCGAGATGTGTCTCAGCCTTCTGCCTCCTCTGGACTTCTGCTTGGAGAATTTCCTCCAGCTCTCGGATCTTTTGTTCAGCTTCCATTCTTATCTTCATGGACTTGGACAGTGCGTCGTCGATGAAGGCCTTTTCCTCCTCTTCCTCAGAGATCTTCTTCTTCACCTGGTCGATGTCTTTGACAATGACACGCTGTTCTTCCTCCAGAGCAGATATCTTGTTGTCCTTCTCGCCCATGATCCGATTCAGCTCTCTCTCAGGTATTGTAAGGAGAGCTTGTTCGGGCATATAAAAATCCAGACCAGTGTCACTGGGTCTGGCCTCAGACAGGTCTTGGTTGATGTCTTGATTGTTTTGTTCATCGCTGCTTCCATAGATGAGTTTACTTATCGTTTTCAAACTTGTCTTCTGTGTTGAGGACTTGATGCTCCACGTGTCTGGGAGATGCTGTGTTCACTCTTGTGAATTTGTCTGAAACTGAGTTGATTCTGCTGCTACTTCAGTTCTTACATGAAACATAAAAACAAACTGGGACTCAAGGATGAACTGATTAGATTTTGGTGGTCAAAGGTCAAGGTCACCTGCTGTATAATCAAAGAACACATGGACATCTGTCTTTATGCAATATGGGACCTTTAATAAGTTAGAGAGTTTGTTCTGCTCAAGTTTTTAACAAAATAAAAGAGTTGAAAAGATTAATTAATGGGCTAATCTACAAAAATGTATTGCCAACAATGTTGATAATCAACTAACCCTTTTAAGAAACTAACTGTTACCTGGT